CCTCTCCTCGTCCTCGTTTGCCCAGGCCTTAAATCACAAATCAGCAGGCAGGAGTCATTTCCCCGGGAGAGCGTTTAGACGGGAGATTGAATGAGTAATTTACTGGGAACATTAAGGACGGCCCCGGATAACTTATTTATGAGAACTTTTTGACAGATCTGCCACTCAATAATTTATGCTGCGCGGCGTCTGCTCAGGGTCACCAGTAAATAATTCACTTATCATAAACTGGGGGAGGTTTTATGGGACTCTGAGTTGTCTCCCAGCGCGTTTGGGGTTGGAAATGGGATGCCCCGGGATCCCTGGATTCCCTGGATCTCAGGATCCCTGGATTTTGTGTGTGTGTGTGAGGAGAGGAGGGGTTGTGCCAGGGTGTTTTTGGCTCCTGCCAGGACCTGGGGGGGGGGTGGTGGCGGCTCTGGTGACCTCTGGGAGGAAGTGGCATCGCTTGTGAAATCCCTGCCTCGTGTCCTCCCGCACTTCCCATCCTTTTTGGGGGCTTTTTTTTCCCGGGACAACCTCGGCTTTCCCTGGATGGCGACCCCGAGGCGGCTCACGGGGCACAACAAACAGGGGCTCTCCGTTGCCATGGGGACGATCCCAGTGGGATGGCAGCTCCGGGGGAGGAATCAGACCCCGCTGACACCTCCTCTCCCGGCTCGGTGTCCCCGTCCCTGGTCACCAAGTGGACGGCGACCACCAGCACCAGCAGCGGCCCCAGCACGGCGGCCACCAGGTAACCCTTGAGCTCACAGGAGTGTCCCCACCCCCCGCACGCCCTCGGCCCCCCTCCGCCCTCCGGGGGCTGCCCCGAATCCGGGTCCTGCCCCGTGGGGTCTCCGGCCCGCGGCTCGGTCGCCCCCGGGGGGGTCGCGGTGGTGGCACCGGGTCCTGAGGGGTCACCGGGCACGGGAGGGTCACCTGTGGGCACAGGGAGAGGGGTGACGGGGGGCAGAGGGGTTTTTGGGGGGGCAGGGGAGTGGTTCCCACCTTTGGGGTGGGTGGGTGCCACTGGGACAGGGGTCAGGGGGTGCAGCCCCCCACCCAGGGTTTGGGAGCCACCAGGGCTGGGTGCAGGGGGTGTGGTGGGTGCAGGGAGGTCAGAGGGGTTTTTGGGGAGCAGGGGACTGGTTCCCACCTTTGGGGGGGGGTGGGTGCCGCTGGGAGAGGGGTCAGGGGGTGCAGCCCCCCCCCCCCCAGGGTTTGGGAGCCACCAGGGCTGGGTGCAGGGGGTCCAATGGGTGCAGAGGGTGCAGAGGGTGCAGGGGGTGCAGAGGGTGCAGTGGGTGCAGCAGACACCGAAAGAGGAAGGGGAATTTCTCCACTACCCACATACCCATGCCACAGACTCTTCCTCGTGGTCAAGGGGGGGAAATTCCATGGAATGGGTGGGTCACGCAAGGGGAACCCACCCCAAACCCGAGCCCCCCGTCCCTGCTGCCCCACCTTTGGACTCACCATAAACCCACAGACGGTAGCGGAGGGTCTTTGGGGCTGTGGGGTCAGACGAGGTGTCCACAAGCACCTCGTAGCTCCCGCTGTCCTCCAGCCTCAGCCCTTGGATCTCCAGGGAGAGGTTGTTGGGATGGATGAGCAGCCGCTCGCGGAACTGGGGCAGGAAATCCACGGAGAACTTCTTCTCCCCGGGCTTGGCCTCGGCCATGTGGGTCCCGCGGGTCCTCCAGGTGACGCGGGCGATGTCCCCGAAGGCGGGACGCAGGGCCGGGAAGGACACGGACCGTCCCCGCAGCCCCCTCAGCACCGGGACGCCGCCCCCTGCAAGGCACCGAGGGGTGGGGGGAGACCCCGGGAGTGTGAGGCAGAGGGTGGTCTCCACCTCCTCCCCCGCCCAAAGCATCCCGGAGGTGCCAGGATGCCCCGACCCCCCCTGCCCTGGCACCCCGGGTGCGACCCTCACCCCCGGCTGCCACCAGCAAACAGCAGAACAGCGCGACCCCGGCTCCCATCGCGTCCCCTCCTCTTGTGGGGCTTTGTGGGCGCTGCAGCCCCCGACCCAGCGGGGCGGGACCCCCCCCGGGAGCGGATTGCCCAAGGCTGGCGGCCGGGAAGCGGCGCATGGATGTGATGCCCGTGGGCCGGGGGAAGTGGTGACCGGGCGGTGGGAAGGGCTTGGTGGAGGAAGCGCTGGTGGGTGGGTGGATGATGCCAGGACCCGACCCCGTCCCGGGACAGTCAGGAGGGGAAGAAGCAGCTCCCGCTTCCCTGGGATCTCGTGCGGGTGATGGATAAACCCCTGGAGGCGGTGGGAGGCCGGGAATAAGATCCCGCTGGCGGGGGGGGGGAGTCCTTCCCTGCGCATCCCGGCCCTTTTCCCGTCACAGCACCCCCGGGACGAGTGGATTTTAGCCGGGAAGAGGCTCAGCGACTCCACAAGACGCCGCTTCCCCCCCTGGATGCAGCCCCTGCGCGGCTCCATCCCGGTCGGTGCTTCCCGGAGGGATTTGGGAGCAGCGCGCGGGGCTCAGCTCCCGCCGAACGGGTTTTTGGGGGGCTCGGGGACCCCCCCCCAGAGCCGAGCCCTTCCGAGCGCGGTCTAATGCTGCCACCTCCCGGGCACAGCTTTAAAAAATTCCTTGGATTTTCCCTCCCTGCCCGGTTTTTCCCGGGACGCCGCGGGGATGAGGCCGCGGGCGCGTTAAACCGGGAAAGGGTTTAAAAAGCTGCCCGTCCGCCAACGGGGGGGGGGGCACAGCGAGGGACCCCCACGGGACCCTTCCCGCAGCATCCCCCGCCCCGCGTTCCCAAACCCCGAAGCCGTGACAGGACATCCCAAAGCCGCCCCGAGCCCCGGCGCAAAACTCCCCCCCAAACCCTCCGTCTTCGCGTCTCGGGGGGCCCAAATTTAGCTGGAAGGGGGGGGATGAGAAGTCGCGGATGATGCGCTGAATAAAAACACCCTCCGCAATGCGGTGCTTGGAGTGCGCGGCGTCTTCCCTTCCTCCTCAACGTGGTAAATATTTCCCTTTCACCCCCCTCCGCGCTCCCCCGGGCAGAGCTTTTTTGCAGCCCCCGGGAAGGTTCCCCTTGATGTAAATTGTTCTCTACGCGTTGAATGGAGCCGCGGACAAAAGCTCTAATTAATCGGCTCGGCCCCTTCTCCCGCAGCCGAGGGTTTTTTTTCCAGCCTCACAAAAACGCCGCTTTTTTTTTTCTCCCTTTGTAGCCTTAATTAGTTTTTTTGCGAGGGGAGGCGAAGGGGGGGGGGAAAGAGGGGCCGTGGGAGCCGGAGCGTCCCCGCGTCACTGCTGGGGCACCGCGTGGGGAGGGAGGGAAAGCCCTGGAGCTCCTCCAGCCGGGACGGGGGGATCGGGCCGTGCCTCCGTTTCCCTCCCTGATGGGGTTGAAATACCCCCGGGGATGGAGCAGGGACCCCTCGGCATCCTCGGGGCGCTCCATCCTGCGGAAATCCCGCTCCAGCTCATCCCATCCCACTCATCTCCTCTCCCAGCGCCTTTTTCCCAGACTTTTTTTGGCTGGGAACTGCCCCTTTCGCCCTCCTCCCCCCCCAGTGACTCCCCGATCCCCAACTCGTCACTCAGTGCCCAGACAGGGTTTTCCAAGCCATCATCTGGACCGGGAATGGCTCGGAGCCGGCCGGGAATGGCTCGGAGCCTCCCGGGAATGGTTCAGAGCCTCCCGGGAATGGCTCGGAGTTCCCCGGGAATGGCTGGGAGCCCCCCGGGAATGGCTCGGAGCCCCCCGGGAATTGCTTGAAGCCCCCCGGGAATGGCTCGGAGTTCCCCGGGAATGGCTTGGAGCCTCCCGGGAATGGCTGGGAGCCACCCGGGAATGGCAATGAGCTTACCATAAGGTGATTAGTGGCGCGGCTCCAAGGGCGGGGAGCAGACGGCGGCAGTGATCGGATTTGGGGACCGCTGACCCCGGCGCCTCTTGCTCTCTTCCAGCGCCACCCTGGATATCCCGGGAAACCACCGTGGGGCCGAGCTCATGAATATCGGCCGGAGATCGCCCGAGGTGGCGTCTGGGCCAGATAAGGGAGCGACAAAACCCGCTCCCAGATAACAGCGATGCTCCTTCCACATGGAAACCATCCCGGATTTATTTACAGATCTGGAGTCGAGATAGTCGAGAGAGGGAATAAACCTCTGGGGGAAGCCTGAGAGCGGTTTGGGAAGTGTTTTCAGTTCCTTCTTCTTTTGTATCCTCCTCCTCCACTCACCTCTCCCGAATGACTTCCTCGGCTGGGTTATTTTCTCCGATATATATATTTGTTATCCAAGGCTGATATAAAGGAAATCCCGTTTTCCACAGGCAGAGGAAGCTCTGACGAAGCTCTCACCCTCCCCCCTTTGCTTCCCACAACAAGCCGAGCACCTTTTCCTAGAAATGCAGCGTTTCCTTAAAAAAATCCGACAGGTTCTTACAACAATTCATCGGGAACGGCCCCATTTCAGCGGCGCTCTCAGTGCTGAGGCTTTTTGACCCCCCCAAAATGCTCCCACGCTCACCTTGGGCTCAGCAGAGGGAGGGGATGAGGAGAAGGGAAGAACCTGCCCTGTCCCGGGGAAAGGTGGGAATTCGGAGGGAGATGAAGGCGGGATCGGTCTGGTTGTGAAATCCAGCTGCTGGGAGACCCCCGGCCGGGCTCCCCAGCTCCCCGACCCCGCGGCACGGGGGTCTTTGGCCCCCCGATCCTGCCCTCGGGGGTCCGGGGACCAAATTGCGCCCGGAGCAGCTTCTCCTCCCCCGCAGGAGCCGCAAAAGGCAAAGCAAAAAAAAAACAATAACCCCAAACCCGCCCCTCTTCCTCGGGGCAGTAAAATTAATTTCCTCGCAGGTTTTGGGGCTGCCTGGCCTGTCCTTTCCCCCCCGGCGGGGCACGGGGGTACCCGGGCACCCCCCCCGAGGGAGGGGCGGCCCCGAGGGGGTCACAGCGAGGGCTGAGATCACGCGGATGAGAAGGAGGAGGAGGGAGCGAAGGAACCGCAGGCAGGAGGGGAGGAAGTGGCCGCCGGGCACTCGCCCCGAGGGGGGGTTTTCGCACCTCCCGGGGCTGCCGGGACCTGGCGATGCTCCGGCCCGGGGGTCCCCGCTGCCCCCCGGCGCTGCTGCTGCTGGTGGTGGTCGTGGCCAGCGGCCGAGGTGAGGAAGGGGCTCCCCCGGGGGGGTTTTGGGGCTCGCTGGGGCCGGGGGGGGGTGCGGGGGAGGCCGGAGGGGGCGAGAGGACAAGGGGGGGGATGAGGGGATGCGGGTGCCAGGGAAAAGCTGGCACGGAGGGGCTGCTCAGCCCGGGCACGGCCTGGGAGGGGGGGTCCCTGGGGAGGTGGAGGGGGTCCCTGGGGAGGTGGAGGGGGTCCCTGGGGAGGTGAAGTGGGGCCGGGTGGGTTTTTTGGGGCTTTTTCTCAGTTCTCCGCGCCCCACCCTGCCCAGGGCCGGCTCTCACGTGGGGGGCAGTTCCCCCTTTCCCGGGCACGGGGGGGGTTTGACCGAAAGTAGCCACTTCCTGGCAGGACAATGCCCGTGGCCCTGACCTTTCCCTCGCCCAGAAACGCGGCTTTCCGAGGTCAAATCCCTCTGCTGGACAAGCGCAGCAACTTTTCCCCCCGGTTTCGGGGCAGCTGGTGGAGGCTGAGGGTCTCCTTCCCAAAAAGAGCAACTTTAGTGCGGTAGGAGCGGGGAAAAGCCCGGGTTTGGGGTCCAGCTCGGCCCTGGGAGCATCTTCTGGCTGCGGCTTGGTCTGTTCAGCCCGGAAAAGAAGAGGTTGAGGGGAGAACTCGGGGGGCTGCAGCTTCATCTCTGCTCTGAGTGAGAAGTGACAGGAGCAGAAGGAACGGCCAGAGCTGTGCTGGAGAGGGTTTAGGCCGGATTTTAGGAGGGTGGTCGGGCACCCAGAGGGTGGTTGGGCACTGACCAGGCTCCCCAAGGGCAGTGGGCACGGCCCCGAGGCTGCCAGAGCTCCAGGAGAGGGGCAGGGTGGGATCTTTGGGGTGTCTGTGCAGGGCCAGGGGTTGGATGGATGATCCTGGTGGGTCCCTTCCCACTCAGGACGTTCCACGATTTCGCGATCTCTGTGCCCCCATCACGGCATCTCTGAGAGACAGGAGAGCATCCCCTCCTTCTTTCTCTCCCCCTTCCCCGTTTCTCACCCCGCTGCAGGGCCGGGGGGGGCTCTCGCCGCTCTGGGGCTGCACCGGGCGGGGGGTTGAGCACCCGGAGCAGCTCGAACTGCAGCGACCGCGGGCTCAGCTGAGCTGCAAAAACCTCCCCCCAGGTGGTGCCGCGGTTAAACCGGGCTCTGCTGAGCCCGCCCGGCCCCCGCCGCGGTTAAACCGGGCTCTGCTGCAGCGGCAGCCGCGGGGCTCGCACGCACGACTTCCCCTCCTCCTCCTCCTGTCCCTTTTTCCCTGGGAGCAGAGCCCGACCCCCCTCCCCGGGCTCTCCCCTCCCATCAAGGAATTCCAGAGCCAGAAGGTCCCCCCTGAACCTCCTTTTCTCCGGGATGAACCCCCCACACCCCTCAATTCCAGCAGCCCGCACAAGAGCATTAAGACCCTCTCCCAGAGACAGTCCCCGCGTTCCGCGGGAAATTTAGGACCTGGAGCAGCGGGAATTGCCCCTTTCCGAGAGCTGCAGGTCCCAGGTGATGAGCAGCCCCCTCTCCCGTTTCCCCAGGGGAGGATTTTGGTGCCTTTTCCTCGCTCCGGCCTCTTGTATCCCCGGATCTGCCCAGTCCGGGGGTCCTTTGCTTTGCCAACCCCAGGCTCGGAGCTGGAGCTGCCTGGAGCCTCCAAAGCAAAGGAAAACTGCCCCGGGAGCAGGCAAAGGTGTGGGATGGGTGGGATGTGCAGCCAGGGCTGTGCCGGGTGCCCCCCAGGTGCCCCCAGGAAGTGCCCTCGGCCCTCCGGATGTTCCCGGGGTTTGGGGGCTGTTTTTGTGTCACCTCCACCACAACCCTCGGCTGCTCTGAAAAAGGGGGGCGAGAGCAGAAAGAGGAGAAAAAAATGGTCCAGAGGGCAAAATTCCCCCGGGATGGGGAAGAGACACATGACAGGGATGGTGAGGAGGGATTGGAATCTCTGGGATGGAGGTGGGACACGAGGGGCTGTGCCGGGGGTCTGGACTGAGCTCCAGCAGTGATTCTGTCCCCCCGTGGCCACAGAGGTCACAGTCTCACCTGGGGCTCGTCCCGCTCTGCCTCAGGAAGCCGGGAATGCCGGGAACGAGCCGCGTCCACCGCTGGAATGTTGGAGCTGCGGCCGGAGAGGCACCAACAGGAGTGGACAAAGGTCCATTGGAGATGGAACGGGAGTTCAGGATCACAGAAACGGATCCTGACGGCCCGGAGGGATGGAAATGTCTCCTACACCACCGGTTCTTTTCCCGGGAGAGCTGTTTTCCAGCTGGAGACCCTCTCCCTGAGGATCTCCCCAGTTAGGAAGGAAGACAGTGGGGTCTATAAAATCGAGTTTGATGATCCATCGGGTGCTGTCACTGTCCTGTCCTTCTGTGTGCGGGTGTGGGGTGAGCAGCCCTGTCCCTCTGTCCCCCCGTCCCCCTGTCCCTCTGTCCCCCCGTCCCCTCTCACCCCCCCTGTCCCCCCCAGATCCCCTTCCCCGGCCGGAGCTGCGGGCACAGACCCTTCACCGGGAGCGGGGCTGGTGCAACATCTCCCTGTCCTGCTCCGTTCCCGCTCCCGGGAGCGTCTCCTACAGCTGGAATTGCAGCGGGGATCCCCCGGGGCACCCCCAGCATTCCCAGATATTCCAGCGGGTCCCTGTGGATGCCGATCCCACCCTCTGCCTCTGCAACGCGAGCAACCCCGTGAGCTGGGGCGTGGCCGGCGCCGACATCGCGGGGCTCTGTCCCCGCTCAGGTCAGGATTTTCTCCCTCCCCCCGGAATCGCGGAATTCCCGAGCCCGGGAAGGGACCCCACGTGCATCGTCCAGTCCCCAGTATCCCAGATCTTGGAGGTCACAGGAAAAAAACGAAAAAAAAACCCCAAACAAACATATTTTCGATGCTCAGAAGCACTAGAAAAAAATCACATAAATATATATATATACTTATATATATAATATATATTATTATATATTATTATATATTATATATTATTATATATAATATACAATATACATTTTCTTATATAAAATATATTATTATATATTATATATATTATTATATATAGATAGATATAATTATTTATGGGGTTTTTTTATATAAAAGGCAAATGTGTTAATTTAGAGATTAGAATCATGGGATGGTTTGGGTGGGAAGGGACCTTAAAGATCTTCCAGTTCCACCCCCTTCCTCTATCCCAGGTTGCTCCAACCTGTCCTTGGGACACTCCCAGGGATGGAGCAGCCACAGCTTCTCTGGGCAACCTGTGCCAGGGCCTCCCCACCCTCCCAGGGAAGGATTTATTCCCAATATCCCAAATCAAACCTGTTCTTTGCCTTGGGAGGGGTTGGACTGGGTGACCCCCAGAGGTCCCTTCCCAACCCAACCATTCCTGGAATTCCGTGATTCCTCCCCAGACCTTTCCCCCCTCCTCCTGTGGCCTGCAGTGGCCTCGGCCTCGGCACTGACCCTGTTTCTGACCATCACCTGCTGCTGGTGGAGGAAGAGAAGGAAAAACACCCCAAAAGGTTTGTCCTGGGGGGGATTTCAGTGCAGGATTTGGTGGGATGGGCAGCTGAGGGGGGGTTTAGGTGCCTCTCTACCCTCCTCCTGTCTCCAGCTGTGCTCCTTATGCTTTCCCGGGATTCTCCCGCTCCTGGGGCTGATGTGGGATGAAGGACAGGGTGGATGAAGGGCAGGAAGCCTTTGCCCACCCCTGCTGACCCGGGGGAGGATGAGCTGGATGAAGCCAAACCTGGAGCCCGTGGGATCCAGAGGGCGATTTCCACTCGGAAATATCCATTTTATCCCGAGCTGCCAACAAATCAAACCTCCCAAAGTTGCCAAGGGGACCTTTTTCTCCCTCTGCTTCATTTTACTTTTCTTTGCTTTGTTTTACTTTGCTTTGCTTTGTTTTACTTTGCTTTGCTTTGTTTTACTTTGCTTTGTTTTACTTTGCTTTTTTTTGCTTTGTTTTACTCTGCTTTGCTCTGCTTTGCTCGAGGGCTGAACCCCCCCAAATCCGGGGGTCTCTGATGTCTCCCACTGACCCTTCCAAGCCCCCCCGGGACACGTGGAGCAGCCTCTGACCATCTACGAGGAGGTGGGAAGAGACAAAACCAGCCACGACCCCGTGAGTTCCTCTCCCACACAGAATCCTGGGATAATTCAGGGTGGGAAAAGCCCCCCCCCGTGCCCCATCCCCACCTTGGCACTCGGTGCCACATCCAGTCCTTCCCTGGGCACATCCAGGGCTGGGGACTCTCCCCCCCTCCCTGGGCAGCCCCTGCCAAGTCCCGACCACCCTCTCCATGGGGAAATTCCCGAGGGACAGGAATTCGGGAATGCTGCTCACCCCGAGCTGAGCCTTTGAACCACCTCTGGCTCTTTGGGGGTATTTTGGGGGGTATTTTAATCATCTTGGGTCTTTCCCTCCCCCAGGATGGGACCTTTGAGTCCCCCCAGGCCCCCAACACCGTGTACGCCGTGGTCAGCCCCCCAAAACAGGTAGGGGTCACTCCTGGGGTCACTCCTGGGGGAATCTGTTTCTCCCAGCTCCCAAATCTGCTTTTTTACCCCCAAAACTTGCCTTTTTTGGCACATCCCAGCAGGAGGAACCCAGGTACCAGCAGAGACCTGGGAGCTGCACCATCTACTCCGTGGTCCAGCCGGGCAGGAGGGTGAGACTGTCCCGGTTCCTCCCCGACCCCTCGGGGTGGTGACACCGACCCCGTGTCCCCCTTTGGGTGTTTGGGGTCACCCTCCCACTCCCACCATCCCTGACTCTCCTCCACAGCCTCCTTCTCTCCGGAGGAAGAGGTTGGACCCCTCTCTGGTCTCCACAGCCTATTTGGAGGTACTGGGTGATTCCTGAGGGGTCTCCAAAGCTTTTTTTGGGGTCTCCATGTGCTGAATCCCACCCTTTTCCCTGCAGGATATGGGCGGTCCCAGACCCTGGAGCCCCTCCTTGAGCACCCCAAACCCGACTCCTGCCGGTCTCCACCTCCCCTAATTCCCTGGCAAGGGAATTCCCTTCCCTGTGGATCCGTTTTTCCCGGAGCACCTGGAAATTCCGGCGGCCTCTGGGATCCCACTCGGATCTTTTGGGATAGAAACTGCCAGAAACACTTTTTTTTTGGGAAGGATCCGACCCCCCCAGCTGCGTTTTGGAGGTTTTGGGATGGAAAACTTGTCTCCTGTGGGGATGGAATGGGACTGGTGGGGTCAGGGGGGATCTTCGGGGTTTTTAGGGCTTGGCAGGGTTGGGAATTCGTTTTTGGGCGCAAACATGAGCTGAACTGCACGAGGTGATTGTGCTGCTTGTTTAATTAGTTTAATTGGCTGTTTATAACCCAAAATGTACCCCGGGCATGGGGAGGAGGCAGGAATTGCCTCGTTTACCCCAATAATCTCACCGGCATCGGATCCCCTGGCTCGGGGCTGGGATTAAACTGGGTCAGGGCTCAAGCTTTGTTTATTTTATTTGTATTTTTAAATTTTTTTATCTTTATTTTTTGTGGTATTTTTATTTTATTTTTTTATTCTGTATATTTTATTTTTTATTTTTGAAATTATTTTTATTTTATTTTTATTTTAATTTTCTGGGATTGAACCGGGTCAGGGCTCAGGCTTTTTTATTTTATTTTTATTTTAAATTTTTTTTAATATTTATTTCATTTTCTGCCTTATTTTTATTTTTAAAAATACGTATTTTTTATTTTTTATTTTTTAAGTACATATATTTTATTTTTTATTTTTTTAAATACATATATTTTATTTTTTATTTTTTAAAATACGTATATTTTATTTTCTATTTTTTAAATACGTATATTTTATTTTTTTATATTTTTAAATATGTATATTTTATTTTTCTATTTTTTAAATATGTATATTTTATTTTCTATTTTCAAAATACATATATTTTATTTTCTATTTTTAAATACATATATTTTATTTTCTATTTTTAAAAATACATATTTTTTATTTTTTATTTTTCAAACACATATATTTTATTTTTTAATTTTTAAAAATACATGTATTTTATTTTCTATTTTTTAAAATACCTGTATTTTATTTTTTTATTTTTTTTAATTACTTTTATTTTTATTTTAATTTTCCGGGACTGAACTGGGTCAGAGCCCAGCGGGTGCCGCCGTCGGGCTTTGTTTGGGAAGAGCCGGCGGCCGTTTTCCCCCCCGCGGGTCCCGCCCATCCCGGACAAAGGCGTCTGGCAGGAAGGAATCCCGACTGGAATTAAAATCCGGCCTTTTCCCGGCGGGAGGGAGCCTCGGAGGCTCATCCCGGGATATCCGAGGCTGGAAAACACCTCTGGGGTCCGACCCATCCCCACCTCCCCGGGCAGCCCCTTCCGAGGCCTCCCCACCCTTTCCAGGGGGAAATTCCCCCTCAATTCCCAACCTGACCCTGCCCTGGTGCCACCCGGAGCTCAAACATCGGCACTGGGACCACCCTGGGGGGAAATGGGAACCCTAAAGGGCAGAGGAGACCCTTGGGGTCGGCACTGGGACCACCCTGGGGGGAAATGGGAACCCTGGGGGTCTCTGAGCCACCCTAAAGGGCAGAGGAGACCCTTGGGGTCAGCACTGAGACCACCCTGGGTGTGCAGGGGGGGAAATGGGAACCCTGGGGGTGTCTGGGCCACCCTAAAGGGCAGAGGAGACCCTTGGGGTCGGCACTGAGACCACCCCAAAGGGCAGAGGGCAAAAATGGGAACCCTGGGGGGGTCTCTGAGCCACCCTAAAGGGCAGGGGAGACCCTCGGGGTCAGCACTGAGACCACCCTGGGTGAGCAGGGGGGAAAATGGGAACCCTGGGGGTCTCTGAGCCACCCTAAAGGGCAGAAGGGACCCTCGGGACGGTTTTGGGGTGGCCGTGGTGGGGAGCTCGGGGGGTCCCTGAGGTCCTGGGGGACCTGCCTGTTCCCGAGGGTCCCGCGAGGCGGCATCAACGCCCCAAAATCCGAGGTTTCTGAAGGTTTCTGAAGGTTTCTGAAGGTTTCTGAAGGTTTCTCAGGGTTTCTCAGGGTCTGGGCGGGTGATTTCCCGCCAAGTCCGGAAGGGGAACTGTGGGAAGGGAGCGTTCATTAATCAAGGGTGTTAATCAAGGGCTGTCCCTGCTCCCTTCCTGCACAGTCCAGGGTTTGGGGACGGTGGCAGGGCTTGGATTTGGGGGGGGGATTCCTCGGTGAGCAGCTGCCCGGCCCGGGGGGGGGGGTTCCCACCCCTGGGTTTGGGGGAAAAAACCCCGAGTAAAGATGGCGCCGGGGCTCGTCGTGGACCTCCCCTTCCTCCTCTTCCTCCTCTTCGTCCCTCGAGGTACGGCGGCGGGGTGAGGGGGTGGGTGGGGTTGGATTTGGGGCTCCCTTCCCACAGGACCCCCTGGTTCCCTTCTCACGGGACCCTCTGATTCCCTTCCCACAGAACCCCTTGATTCCCTTCCCATGGGATTCTCTGGCTCTCTTCCCACGGGATCCCCTGACTCCCTTCCCACAGGACCCCTTAGATCCCTTCCCACAGGACCCCCTGACTCCCTTCCCATGGGATTCTCTGGCTCCCTTCCCACGGGATCCTCTGGTTCCCTTCCCACAGGACCCCCCTGGTTCCCTTCCCATGGGACCCCCCCAGCTCCCTTCCCACAAGACCCCCCCAGCTCCTATCCCACGGGACCCCCTGGTTGTCTTCCCATGGGATCTCCTGGTTCCCTTCCCACAAGACCCCTTCCCACGGGATCCCCTGATTCCCTTCCCATGGAACCCCCCCTGGTTCCCTTCCCACGGGACCCCCCAACCACCACCACTCTGGGAGGGGGGGGGCAGCTCCGGGGGAGCCTGGAGAGGATCCAGGTGTAACGGGT